ATATATATATATATATATATATATATATATATATATATATATATATATATATATATATATATAAATTTTAAAAAAATAAATATCTCAAAGGTATTTATGAATCATTCTACAATGAAAAAGATAAACCATTCATATTGTATTGAACTAAAGATAGGAAGGACTTAAAACAGGATGGATTCAATATTCCCTTCATCACACAATTTTCACATTCATCTGATAATAAATCATTGGGGAAAAGTACACATGGTTAGGAAATTTGAGTGTGATATCTAAGCGATGGAGGACATCCAGTATCTTTCACAGTTTCTCTTACCTGTCTGATTTGTGATCTCTCTCTGTGGACATGGGATGCAATCATAGCAGCAAAATGGTTTTCCTTCTCTTGAGGTCTTTCTGTAACCTGAAGGGCAATTATCATTACACAAGGAGAGAGGTGATGCCTGCCCATGAAGGAAATAAAAATAGTTTGGAATGTTTGGAAATTATATTCTCAGATTGTCATTACAAAATTTTGAGATTGTGGTGCTAAATAGCATCTTCCTCACTTTCCTGACTTAGATAAAATAGCATTCAGAAACATAAATAATTACAGGCCAATTAATCATACAACTAATACCATCAGGCTAAAAGAAGATGAACTCCTTAGTCTACATATCAACTAGATGTTTCAGCTTTTGCAGGCAATGCTTCTTGTAGTTCCCATTCATTATGAACTTAATGGCACATCTTTTATTATTGCAAGGTTAATCTATGAATGTCACCAGAGCTAAAGTTACTCTCCCAAAGTATACAGATTGAGTTCCACTGTACAATTTGTCACCTAGCTTACCAACTGACTCCAAATATCACATGGATATTGAATATATCCCTAGAAGGACTCAGATTCATCAACAGTTCCTATGATTGAACCAAAACCAATGATGCCCTTGACGTGATGGCCCGGTGTCTGGAGGCCGTACGGGTCTGGATGGGGAGAAACAGACTCAGGCTCAACCCTTCCAAGACTGAGTGGCTGTGGTTGCCGGCTCCCAGGTATGGTCAGCTGACTCCATCGCTGACTATAGGGGGCGAAACTTTGGCCCCCTCGGAGAGGGTACGCAACTTGGGGGTCCT